ACCATGTGGTATTTTCCTTCTTAACCTGCTGGTGTAATACATTACACTGTGGTTTTCTAATGTTGAAACAGCCTTGTATCTTTGGCATAAACGTTTTATCATGCTGTATAATTCTTTTTGTACATTATTTTATCGGATAAAATTTGTCATTACACTTCGTTGAGGATTTTTGCACTGAAGTTAATGAGATATCTGTGTGACATCTTCCATTATAAGGATTTTGGGCTTAGTACTGGAGTAATTCTGATCCCAAAGAATGAAGAGATAGCCCCTTCTGGAAGGAACTATAGAGAAAAGGCTGTAGAAACTACTTAAAGAGTGTTTTCTTTATGTGTTTGATGAATTCCACTAAATGGAAGTACAGACTCAGTTACCCCGACAGCATCAATATACATTTTTTTCTTCTGTAAAATTTGGCACATTATCTTTTTAAAAAACTGGCCCATTTTATTTTAGCTATCAAATTTAGGGTCATACTAGTTTTTACAGTATCTATTACCTTTCCCCTCCACGGGAGCTGTAGTGACATCCTTGTTTTCATTTATGATAAGAATTAGTAGGGTAGCTGGTCATAGCCTGACCAGAAGGCTTTGAGTTTACTAATATTTCCAAATAACTCATTTATTGTTTCATTGATTCTATTAATTTCTTGTTTTATATTTCATTGATGTCTACTCTTTTTTTCCCTTGGGATTATTTTAGATTAAATGTACTCTTTTTAAAGGTTAAACACTTCATTTTATATTAGAACTTACTTTTTTTTACATTTTGTCATATTTTTTCTCAATGTTTTTATTTAAATTAGAAACGTAAATATTTCACATGTCAGTCCCATCTCCCTCTCCTACCCCTCCTCTCTTGTCCCTCCACCAGTCCCCCCAAACACCCACCCAATCCCCACATCATTCCCAGGGAAGGTGAGGCCCTCCTTCAGGGATCTCTAAAGTCTGTCATTTCATCCAGGGCAGGACCTGGGCCTTCCCCATGTGTCCAGGCTGAGAACATCCCTCCATGTGGAATGGGCTCCCAAAGTTCATTCATAAACCATGATAAACACTTATCTACTACCCAAGTCCCCAGTGATTTCTGTGGCCTCCTCCCTGGCACTACATTCATGGAGTCTGGATAAGTCCCCTGTTGGCCTCTCAGTCATCAGTCTGGGACTCAAGAGCTCCCCCTTATCCGGTCAGCTGTCTTAGTGGGTTTCACCATCATGGTCTTGACCCCTTTGCTCATCACTCCTCCATCTCTGTCACTAGGTTCCAGGAGTTCAGTTCAGTGTTTAGATGTGGGTGTCTGCCTCTACTTCCATCAGTCCCTGGATGAAGTAAAACTTACTTTTAAAAGAATATAATGCAAGAGGCTCTGAAGGCTCCTCTAGGCTCTGCTGTCACCACTGCAAACAATTTGACAAGTCTGTACTTTTCATTTCATCCAGCACAAAACTTTTAAAGAACGTCTCCAGCGCACAACAGTGGACTGACCTTGACCAGACCAACTGCTTGCAGTGTCTGCTGCCTTACATATTCCGGTGGTCTGTTCGTCACTGCACTGGAGAGCGTGCTTAAGACAGACCTCTCATCAGGTATTGCCTCTTTACCTCCCATACTTTTCCCTTTTCTGAAGTCTACCATCAACGTAGCACAGCCCATGTGCTGGCTCCTGTCTGGTGCTATAATACTGCAGCTTGAAGATTGTATTTAGGCTCAGAGCTTCAGAGACAGAGCCCACAATGGTAGAAAGAGGCTTGGTAGCAGGAGGCTGGGCCAGGAAGCTGATATCACATCTTCAACCAGAAAGCAGGGGGGGGGGGGGGCAGAGGTGGGTTGTCACTATTTCCTCCCAAGATGCACAACATAGAAAATAGCTATATCCTAGATTTCCCAAGGATGTAGATGTACTTTCCAAAGTTAGGATACAGGAGAACAAAGGAACACAGAATTAAGTCAACCATCCTACAAACAAACAAACAAAAAACAAACAACTTATTTATAGTTAGAGATGTTGTGGATCCTGGAAGGAAAAAAGCAATCTGTCTACAACTCCTTTGCTGAGGCCATTCAGGACTGCTGCCAGGAGGCCCTCCCTTTCTTTAAGGTTCTACTTCCAGCTCAGCCCAACCTCTTCCACAGACGACTTTGGTAAGGACACCCCGCCCCCCACATTCAAGGCGACAAACACGGCCTGGGAGAGCTTCACCCCACGACGTACTTCTGAGCTAGTAGATTTATCTGAGGCAGGCAATGATCTCAAATTCCTAAAGTCGTCACCTAAGTTAATTTTTTTTAGTAAGAAAGCTATGCAAACAGAAATAGCTGCAGATAGTGTAGACATTACATAGAGCGACTTGAGTCTCACACTTGAGGTGCTTTGGCTCAGAAGGGTGGCAAGTGTGAAACTTCAAGCTTAGCGCATGTTTTCAGCTGGGTCTGACTGAACAGGCCCTCACTGGCTAGCTTAGTCAGGCACCGCTGTTAAAATCAGCGCTCCTCTTTCACCTACGGCAGTGTCGCTTTACAGAGGGAAGTAACCCAGAGGAGTAACACCACTGCTTCAGGGGCCAGGTCTAATTCAGCAATGATGGGATACTAGGTGAATATGTAACCCATGCCCTTGCCTAGAAACCCCATCTTGGAAGTAACATCGTCCAATTTCCTTCAAGACACGGGGAAATTAATTTTATGACTCAATACACAACTGACTCCCTTAAAAAATCTAAAAACCCTAAACTAGGTGAGTTTTTAAAGGTTTTTCAGAAAACAACTTGGGTCATATTTAAAAATTTATGACCAAACTGGAATTCTGATAATCCAAATTATCCAAACAATCCATGAACACGTAACAGTGGAGGAGAAGGCTACTAAATTCCTGCTGGGACAACTGGATACAAAGAGCCTCACTGCACTATCAGGAAGGCAGCCTATGAAGGCGACTTTGCAGGGCTTGTCCCGAAGGCAGCGGGCAGCACAGGGTATTCGAGTGACGGCCACAGGCCTTGCCCGCACCGCAGCCCATGCTGGAGACATGACTCTGAAGGCCTAGCCTGCTGGCTCTGCTTCCCAGACCATGAAGACCACACACTCCACTACCTGTCAGAGCAAAGCGGCCCTGCTTTTCACACTACACTAGACACAAATCTTCCGGAAACGGAACCCAAATAAACTTACCTCTCTTGTCTCCATCAAACAATCTGCTTTAGTAACAAGAAAACGTACAAAGCTGGCACCAACCAGGCCTTGGGGGGATGCAGAAGAGTGCAGTGTGACAGACTATAGCAGCCTGGAGCCGGGGCTGGGGCTCAAGGGTCGTCCTGGGGAAGACCTCCAGAGAGCACGGGGCTAGCAGGAACGGGGCTGGCAGGAACGGGACCAGCACATTCTGCGCTTATGTTCCACAAGGGGGGAAGGCACCATTGGGACGGGAGCTGGCGGCTACTCACTTTACATTCTGACAGAGAATTTGGCTGTGCTTTGTTGGCTGAAATTCTAAGTAAAGTTGAAGTTAAAAGAAATGGACTAATGGGACATTTCAACCCAGCTTAGCATCTAGGCTGCCATGGTTACTGCTTGCAGCTTTTACCCAAGTTTGCAATGATAACTGATAGAAAAAAAGAGTCTAAAACTCTGAAACATGCAATCTGGGGAGGAAATAAGTATCAAACTCACTTACAGCAACTGTCGATCCATCCACCGTGATCCTGAAGAGGTTCAGCATGACTATAGAGAAGCTAGGCACCAGACTACAGGACAGACCCCTCGAGGGCAAGACCCCACCCATTGGAAACTCAGGGGTTAAGACTTTAAGGCCCCCAGCATGTCTGGCACTAAAAGGGCATAAAAGCTGCATTCCCCAAGCTTCAGCCACACAGCACTCAGGAAGCTGTGGTAGTGGCAGCTCAGTAAGATATAAGGTGACTTCTTGAGTGGCAAGAACGCTATTTTGAGGATTTTTAGGGTAAAGACCTCAATCCATCACCCAGACCATTCTTGAACTTGAGATCATCCTGCATCAGCCTTGACTTTGAACCATCATGCCTGGGTAGGTGCATCCATGTCTTTCTATGAGGTGGTTTTTGCTTGTACTATTGGGGAGGGGGCACTGGGCTTGAACCAGGATCTTGTGAATGCTAGGCCACATACTACACTCAGCTACATCCCAGACTGCATTTGGTCACTGTAAATGGCTCAGACAACACAGATGTAATTAGAAACTCGTAATCCAGGCTTTCAGAATTCCCTCCAACTGATTCCCCACCTTTTAAGTAAGTATGAACTGACGCTTATATTTTCTTGTCTAAGAGTTTCTACTTCGACTGTTTTCATTAATAGTCATTATAAATGACCATCTCTCCTTTTCTGTGTAAAGTTCAAACTAAACACCTACAGAAGAGAGACTTTGATGTATCCATTTCACTGCTACAGATTAACAAATCAAAATTTACATGTTTCAGCTGGGCTTTGGTGGCACACGCCTTTAATCCCAGCACTCGGGAGGCAGAGGCAGGCTGATCTCTGTGAGTTCGAGGACAGCCTGGTCTACAGAGCAAGTTCCAGGACAGCCTCCAAAACAATACAGAGAAACCCTGCCTTGGAACAAAAAAATTACATGTTTCAGACGACAGTCTGTGATCCTTATTTTATTAACCAAATCTCATGGAGAGTCAAAATGTTACTCCTTTAAGAGAAAGGCAACTTTTTCAATATGGAAATTAGTCCCATTAACGTTTCATGAAAAATTAACTAACGTGTAGTCATTCACCAGCCCACACTCAAGGATTAAGTATCTTGATATCTTGATCTCACTAGTGCTCCTCCCCCCTAATTGGAGACAGTCGTGAAATAAAAGGGATTTTCCAAGACAGCATCTCTAAAGATCTATAGTTTACATCTTAAAAAGGTTAATACTACACTATCTATATGTAGTATTAGTTCTACATGTAAGTTTGTAATCATTTTCCACCTCTATTGTAGGATAACTTAAATGAATGTAGGGAAACCAAATTGTTTAACATTTTCCATATATTTTCATTTTGAAAAACCATGTTTTACAAGGAAAGACACTAGACCGCTACCCCTTAAGTAGAAGTTCCATGACCTTAATATCAATACATATGGATGAGATTTAAAACCCACATACACACACACGCACGCGCACACACACACAGATGCACGCACGCACACGTACACACACACACACACACACACACACACACACACACACACACACACAAAGCTCTAGGTAGAACTGTAATAAATTCCTTTTATAAACAAAATCTTAACTGAAAAGCCACAGTAGATGGAAAAGGAAAAGGATATTACTTTGTAAAATCCAGTGAACATCTACAATAGTTTTACAGCACATTTAAGCATTCTAGGGTTTTATATCTTTACCTGCCTTCCATTTCTTACTTGCTCCTTACAAATTTGTCAATTATGAACCCAGATTTGTTCCTCAAATCCAGTCTTGAGTCTGAGTGCCAGAAAAAGCAAAAGTTCAAATTTTATCTCGATATTACACTTTTAATTGTAAAAAATAGTTGTTTAGAACAAAATGCCCAAAAACTGGGGGGGAGGCCAACAGAAAAATAAGCAGCAATATTTAATCATATATAATAGTTGCTCATTACGTGGAAGGTATATTTAAAAGGGTGATATCTAGGATGCACTTGCTCTGTGGGGTCTCCTCAATAATTAAGCGACCTAGACCAACACTACCAAAAATAAGAGTACTATGTAAGGGGCACAAATTTACACTTTTGCTATTTGTAAAGGCAGTAAAGCAAAAGAAAATATTATCAAATAGTACATGCACATCCTACATAACTTCCATGGAACTACCAATGTGTCAATGCAATGTGCATTTTTCCCTAACTGTACTATATCATCTACTAACAAAGGAAACAAGAGATTGAAAATAATGGTACTGAACTGAATTGTTTGAAGCCGGTGCCCCACATATGGGGAAAGTGCATTTAGTTCAGCAGCAATACAGCACAGTGTGAAGATATTGTGCTTAGACACAGATACTCAGAACAGAAAGATGTACAAGGCGAGTCAAGATATAAAACCACAGTACACTGTTAAATAACCTTGAAACATACGTGACTGCAGTCTTCAGAGAGACATTCATCTCATTGTACAACGAAAGGGTAAAGTCCTTAAAGTTACCTATTGTAGTTTATGATATAATAAATACATGTCTATATAGCATTGTATATACATATATAGAAAGTGTGTTCATGTGTAATTTATTTGCCAGATTTCTGTTGAATTTTTGTGGATCTGCAACTGTCAGGAATGGAAAAGAAGAGAAAAGAAAATCACCAGATTTCTGCTCCCCCAAAGTAAAAATACTTATTTTAGGAAAGGTCTCAGTATCCCCACCCCAAAGACCAGATATTTATTTTAGAGTTCATCAGAGAAATAAAAGTAGTGGAAATTTTGATTTCTAAATGTATATTTTCTGTTTGCCAGCTGTTTCAACAAAAATATTTTTTAATCTTTAACTGATGCAAATTCTTGAGGAGAGAACATAAACTCTATATCTGACTGATCAAACCAGAGCAAATCAAAATAATCCAGTGATTCACTCCAACTGTAAACAATATATAAAATTCAAATTTCAAAATAAATTAAAGAAAAATTCTACCTTCAGGGCTTATGCTATTATAAACATTTGACAATTGTAAGGGAAAATGTATATGAAATGTTCCAACAAAATTTTTGGCCCACATTTTTTCCTAAGAGAAACACATATCTAACTATATTACTTTGCCCCTTAAATTTAATGACTTCATAATTTGTTGGAAGATTTTTAAACAAACTGGCATATCAGATTACACAACAGAAAACCATCCATCAAATTTAGCAAAGAAAACTTATATAAGCCTTTTTTTTTCTTTACAGAATTAAAAAAATCTAAATGGCTATGATTCCTCTATTAGCAGAAACACATAATGCAGTCTCTATAAATCTGCCACAGATCAATATCCACAGATACAGATATAGATATGAAACATTAATGGCAGTCTGTTTTTGAACAGTGTGTGGGACCAGCAGTTTGTGTCAGACCATGGCACGATATGGACCCTGCATCTTTAAAAACTGGATGATGAACGAAGGCCCTCCAGCAACAATCTGAGGTGGGAGGTGGCTGAGCGGACAGTTCTCAATACTCATGATCGACAGCTTGCTGCAGAGAGCCAGCTCAAAGGGGAGGCTGTGGAGGTTGGGGTTGTCATTCAAATACAATTCTTCTAGGTTTTCCAGTGTACCTGTTTAGGGAGGGAAAAAATTAATTACTACTCTTAAAGCTCTCACCACTTTAGATTTCAAACTGCAGCATATTCAGATCAACCGGAGAGACTTTAAAGCCCCAATGTATAGGTCATTCTATACCCATGAAATTACAATGGTTTTGAAGCCTAAGAGGTTTATGGAAATACTTCGTTTTCAGACATTCTGTTGGGACAGTTGAGAGTTCACATATGGATTTTTAAACCTCTATTTTAAAAGTCAAAACATGGACTACTTGTAGTAAACCAACAGGCAGCAGGACAGACTTGTCTACATGTAGGATATTTAATCTCAGAACAGTCTATATGAAGTAAGTTACTGTCCAGATTGACAAGAAGACATTACGGGTGGACAGTCTCTATCCAAAGCTAAAAAGTTTGGGAAGTGGCAAAACTAAATTTTAAATTGTCTACCATGTTCAAAAACATGCTTTATCTTGCTTCCACAACAGGGCACTATAGAGAACAGATCATAATTCATAGAATATTACTAACTTAGGAACCATTCAGCTGACTCGACTACAAAACTTATTATACTTCCTAAATTCAAAGTGATCACATTAATTATATAAATAATAGCTATGAATATTTGGAAAACATTCTAGAAGGAAATCCAGGTATTGGTATTAATCAAATATTACTATTAACTCTAAATCCCTATGAGGAATGTTCTTTGGCAAGTTATGCATGGTAGCTTATACCTAGTTTCAGTACTGGTTATTATAAACAAAAATCTAAATAAAGATGACAAAAACAGAAATGCCCTTACTGCACAGACATTGCTAATTTAATTCAAGCCCAATCAACTCTTTATTTATTTATTTATTTATTTTGGTTTTACGAGACAGGGTTTCTCTGTATTGTTCTGGAGGCTGTCGGTCCAGCCCAGCCTCGAACTCAAAGAGATCCGCCTGCCTCTGCCTCCCGAGTGCTGGGATTAAAGGCGTGCGCCACCACCACCTAGCTCAAGCCCAATCAACTCTTAAGTCTGGAAGAATAGAAAATAATTCTTCTACATTGAGATTTATAAATAAGGTCTACTGACAGCATAAGCAGCCTAACTGTTTTCAAATATAGTATACATTCTAAGAACTTAGGAAAATCTTTGGCACTCCATTAAAAGCCTTGAGCTTGATGCAAATGAATTTACAAACAAGTGGACTTCTTAAACCTGTCTGTTGGAAAGCACAAACTCAGTCAGCAGTGTCAGCAGCGTCCACAGGTCCATACCAATTTCCTCGGGAAGGTGAGTAAGCAGGTTCTCTCCAAGGCCAAGGTGTGTGAGGTTGGTGAGGTGACCAATGCCTCTGGGAAGAGTGGTCAACTGGTTGTTTGTCAAGACTAATTTCTAGAAGATTAACAAAATAAGAAAGTTACACATACATCAGTTCCTACAACCCACATAAACTTAAAATGATGTATCTAATGAATAAAATAAAATAAATAACAGGGAAATTAAGTTGGGTAAAACTTGCTTAGTAAATCACAAGACTTTATTTCAAAACATTTCATTTGTTAGGAGAACAAGAGCAGACAGCTTATGTTCACACAGGACAGTGAGACACAAGACCTTAATCGGAGAACTGTATTAAAACCTAAAGCAAGAACTTTAGTCATACAATTCTACTGCTTCCAGGAGAGCTTTACCTGTAAATCCTTAAGATACGCAATCTCATTGGGCAAGGATTCCAGTTTGTTCTCCTCTAGATCTAATTCTCGTAACTTTCTAAGGTTTCCAAGACCATGGGGAAGCTTCTTTAGAAGATTGTTCGATAGTATTAGAACCTAATCAAGTTAATGAGAGCATTTCATGACTCAAGAGATAACATCATACATGACTGCTATATAGATTAAAGCTTATTAAACAATATTAATTCCCAAAATGGCTCTTAAGCATAACAATTATAAAATATTAAATATTTAATGGACTAATACAATATTTAAAACTAATATAGTTACTACAAAGAGATTTTAATCCAATTATTTAAACAAGGAAATAAATTATTAGCTAAATTTTAAAAGGAAAAACAAAATTAACTATTTGCCTTAAGATTACAGTATTTTGAGCCAGGTGGTGGCAGTGCACGCCTTTAATCCCAGTACTTGGGAGGCAGAGGCAGGCAGATCTCGGAGTTCAAGGTCAGCCTGGTCTACGAGCTAGTTCCAGGACAGCCTCCAAAGCTACAGAGAAGCCTTGTCTCGAAAAACAAAACAAAACAAAAAAGATTATAGTATTTCGACAATCAATAATTACAAGTATTAATAAGTATATTAATCTTACTAAACTGTTGGTTAACGATGAAGACTTCACTAATCAAAGACAGTTAACAGTCATTCTTGACTAAAGATGGATTTTTAATTATGGGAAAAGCATTTTAAAAGAAGGTAATAAAATCAAGAGAGAGAAGAGCAACACTTAGACACTTAGAACTATGCACACAGCTAGAGTATGCACACAGCTACAGTATGTACAACACATGACCAACACAGGGTGTGGGATAAAATTAGATCAAAGTCATACAAGAAAAGGCTCTGAGCGTCAATCTGAAAAATCCATATTTATTTTGGCAAGCAAATGCCATGTTTCCTAAAAGGAATTAAGGAAAAATGTTTTAAAGGCGCTAGGTTTTAGATACCTTTCTCTTCTAAAATTCCACATTTAAGTCTCTCAGCTTCTGTTAGGCAGAAGTGGTTCAGAGGCATGAACACCTTCCTCCCCTCACAGGGCTGTGCATCTAACGGAGCCCAGTTGTGACCACCTCTAATTACATTATATTTACTTACCTCAAGAGAAACAAGACCAGAGACATCCTCTGGGATTTTTGTGAGCTGATTTGTGGCTAAATTCAATTCTACCATACTGGTCCAAGTTCCAAAATCCAAAGGAAGCGACGTCAACTGATTGTCCTAGCAAAGACAAGAGGCACCCAGGTAGAACCACAGAAACAAAGCCACAATTTATACTTCTCATATTCTCATATTTATCACCCAAACAGAAAAAGAAAACAAGACCCAAAACTTGCCAAGAAAACCTCAGAACTTCCAATGTTTTAATTAATTGGGCCTTTATTTTGAGGTTAAATTAGATTTTCTTTGTATATGGATACTTGTAATGAAAATTTTAATATATATAACGTATATACAGAGAGAGCTCTCAAAATTTCAAAGATTCTAGTGACAAATGGGTATTCTCTACTTTGTACAGAAATCACTGAGTAAAATAAAAATGCTCAGATTAAGCTATGAATAGGAAGCTGGAAAGACAGCTCAGTCAGTGGGGAAACACACTTGCCATCAGCATGACGAGCAGGGCAGACATAGAAGAAGCCAAAAACTGTCCTCCAGCCTCCTCCACATCAGCCACGCTGCTCAAGCACACACACAACCAAAGACAAACAAGTGTGGCTTTAAAAAGATAAAAAAGGTACTAGTGCATACATAAGGAGAAAAACTGTCTCACTTTTTTTTTTTTGGCCAAGGAAACATTTTGTTAATTTTTTATCACTTTGAAGAAATGTTAAGACAAAGTTCTACAGTTTCACACTTATTTTACTGAAACCTCAGGCAAACCTGACTAAGCAAATAGACTCTAACATTAGAGTCATAAAAAAGCATGTCCAAATACAAAAACTAGCAAACACCTGCTTCATCACAGTCTAAACCTATTAAAAACTGAGACATTTCTTATTACTTATGCTGGGAACTGAAACAAGGGCCTTGTACATGCTATGCAAAAGTCTGCCACCAAGCTAAGTGACCAGCATTTCTGCATAGATAACACTCAGCAGGAAGGCCATCATCACTTTATCTATAACCACATGAACAGACTAGGAACTTTTATGCGGACTTTTAAGATTATCTCGAATTAATATTTTTTACTTATATACATCCAAAGAGTTACCATGATAAAGTATAGGAACAAAGTTACAGATTTAGGTTACTAAAGGCCACAATTACGGTGCATAGTTTAAAGAAAGACAAAACTATGTAGTGTGCTAAGACAGAACATTTTACCTGGAATCAAAGAAACCCAGGTTTCCTGGATTCCTACTCAGCTACAATCAGGATTAGGTATGTGCCCTTTACAAATTAAAACACAGCATTTATAATTTCCCATAAATTTTTCCTTCCACAGTAAACTCACAAATTCACATTATAAATGAAAGTGTTCACCAAAGGGCACACGAACAGGCAAAGAACCTGAGGTGACTTATCAGTTACTCCGACAGCCAAAGAGAAGCCCTGTCTTAAGAGCTGCTGCTGGATGCGTAACACCTAGGAGTTTAGTAGAATAACTGGCATATTTAACACAGGTTAAGCCTGTGTACAGGGATTTTTACATACTTCATACTTAATAAAACAGGAATGCGGCAATAGATATTTAACACTGTGTCTTAGTCTAAGTCATCAGATATATTACTTTAAAAATTAAACCTTTCTGGCATAGTATGTTGGAATTTATGAAATAGATATCCTTACAGTTATACTTCTACTCCCATGATTATTTCTTCAGGACAAACTGCTAAGGGTCTGCTTCATTTGAAAACATTTGTTATCTAATAAGAACTGTTCTAAAAGCATGCTTGTTAACAGGCATCAATTACTCTACACACTAGTAGAGAAAATATGAATGAGAATCACAGCACACACATACGCAACACACACACACACACACACATACCCCAGACAGGGGCTTACCTTCATATTCAGCTTACTTAACACTTTAGCTCTGGAGAAGATTCCAAATGGAATTTTGTTGATTCGATTGTGTTCCATGTTGAGGGAATAAATGGTGGAAAACTGAGATGGACCTCCCACTGGATATAACTGGAAGCAATTTCTAGCTAAGGTCAAGCTATTCAATTTTACAAGACTGGATAAAAGACTCTGTAAAAACAAAATAAGTATAAGATTCAGAACTGAAGTAATATCACTTTAAACAAAGCAGTCGCCTTGAATGGGATTAAAGTAGCCTGGTCAGGCTAGTTCTGGGACCATCTTCAGGGACAATCATGTGACCATCTTCAGGGACAATCACTACACAGATCTAGAGTTTACAGAAAGCCCATAGTCAACATCAAATTAAATGGAGAGAAACTCCAAGTAATTCCACTAGAACAGGAAACAAAACAAGGTTGTCCACTCTCCCCATTCCTACTTAATACTGTATTTGAAGTCTTAGAGCATTAAGACAACTGAAGAAGATTAACGGTATACAACTAGGAAAGGAAGAAGTCAAGTTATCTGTATTTGCATATGATACAATACTATACATCCTACATAAGTGACCCTAAAAATTCCACGAGGCAATTCCTACAGCTGACAGCTGATAAACATTTCCAGCAGAATGGCTAGATACAAGATTTAACTTTTAAAAAAATCAGTAGCCCTCCTATATACAAATGACAAATAGACCGGGGGGGGGGGGGATCAGGGAGACACTGGCCTTCAGAATGGCCACAAATAATAAAAAATATCTTGGGGTTACTCTAACCAAGCAAGTGAAAGACTTGTATGACAAAAACTTTAAGTCTTTGAAGAAACAAATTAAAGAAAATATCAGAAGATACAAAGTTACCACACTATGGATCAGCAGGATAAAAAAAATGGCCATTCTACCAAAAGCAATCTACAGATTCCATGTAATCCCCATCAAAATCCCAACACAATTCTTCTCAGACCTTTTAAGACAATTCTCAACTTCATATGGACAAACAAAAAACCTATGATCCTATGATTACTGAAATGATGCTGAATGGAACTGTAGAAAACAAAAATGAAAAACAAACAAAAATATGCGGTATTGGCATAAAAACTGGTATGTTGATGGATGGAATCAAATTAAAAATTCAGACATAAATACACACACCTATGGACACCTGATTTTTTTTTTATAAAGAAGCCAAAAGCCGGGGGGGGGGTTGTTGGTGGCGCACACCTTTAATCCCAGCACTTGGGAAGCAGAGGCAGGTGGATCTCTGCGAGTTCGAGACCAGCCTGGTTTACAAAGCTAGTTCCAGGACAGCCTCCAAAGCCAGAGAAACCTTGTCTTGAAAAACCAATGGGGGGGGGGGGGGGAGATTAAGCCAGAAATACACACTGGAAAAAAGAAAGCATCTTCAATAAATTGTGCTGCTAAATTGTTTGTCTGCATGTATTAGAATGCAAACAGATCCATATTTATCACCCTGTACAAAACTCAAGTCCAAGTGGATCAGAGACCTCAACATAAAACCAATCCACTGAACCTGATAGAAGAGAAAGTGGAGTATAACCCTGAACTCATTGGTATAGGAGACTTCCTGAGCAAAACACCAAAAGCACAGGCATTAAGATAAAAACTTACTAAACTTCTTAAACTGAAAAGCTTCTGTAATCTGTAAGGCAAAGGACACCATCAATTGGATGAAGCAGCAGCCTAAAGAATGGGAAAAGAATTTTTACCAACTCCACATCTAACAGAAGTCTAATATCCAAAATATATAAAGAACTCAAGAAACTAGATATCAAAAGATAGAAAGAAAGAAAGACAGAAAGAAGCCAAACAATCCAATTTTAAAATGGTACAGATCTAAACAGAGAATTCTCCATAGAGGAAACTCAAATGGCTGAGAAACAATGTTTAACAACCTTAGTCATCAGGGAAATGCAAATCAAAACTACTTTCAGAGTGTCTTACACCTGTCAGAATGGCTAAAATCAATAACACAAGTGACAGTTCATTCTGGTGACAGTGAGGAATAAGCAGAACAGTCCCCCTCTGCTGGTGAGAGTGCAAACTTTAGAACCACTATGGAAATCAATATGGTGGCTCCTCAGAAAATTAGCTATCTCTCTGCCTCAAGATCCAGCTGCATCCTACCACAAGGGAACCTGTTCAACGTTCACAACAGCCAGAAAGTAGCAACAACCAAGATGTCCCTCAACCAAAGAATGGATAAAGAAAATGTGGGACATTAATACAATTTACTCAGTGGCTTTAAAAATAAAAATGACATCATAAAATTTGGAGGCAAAGGATGGAACTAGAAAATAAAATAATCCTGAGTGAGGTAACCCAGGCTCAGAAAGAAATATATGGTATGTATTCACATATATATATATGGATATTAGCCATTAAATAAATAACAACCTACAATCTATAGAGCCAGAGAGGTTAGGTAAGAGGAAGAGGCTAGGGGCGACACATGGATCTCCTTAGGAGGGACAAATAAGTGATTTTATGGATGGATTGAGGGTGTGGGGGGAATGGGAGGACCAGGTGGGGAGGGAGAGTAGGGTAGAGGAAGAGAATGTGGCGAGAGACAGCTAAAATTAGAAAGGGCTATATTCACTTGAGTTGTTGGCCAAGGGGGTCCCATGGAAATTCCCAACCATCCCAGGCTGGTGCTGAGACAATGGGTCTGTGGGACCCTATTGCTGAAGACAATACCCATACAACTCATTGAACACAGAGAAGTCAAGAAGGTGACTACATGGAGTCTTCACTCCTACGCTCTAGTTAGTGTCTTTGGTGCAGTAAGGCACTCTGGAGGTTGCCAAAAGAGAAACATAAAAACAAACCGAGTCACAAAACCTTTCACCTACACTCTGTCCTGCCTGCAAGATATGCTAGGGCACTGGTGGCACGGAGCTTGTGGGAGTGGCCAAGCACTGTCGGATCTGACTTAAGAGCGCTTCGTGAGACAAAGCCCATACTCAATACTGCCTGGGTGACCAAGAACCACACACTGTCTCGATAGCTCAAAGACCTAGGATAACCCACACACCAGTGGTCTTTAAAATGACTTCTTAATGACACTCCACTGCATTCATAGATACCTTATCCAGTCAGCATCAGAGATGCTTCCTATGGCAGACAGGAACAGATGCAGAAACCCACAGTCAGACACTACAAAGAGGGCCCTGAAACACACAGCTCACTGAACACGGTGGAAGAGGAGGGGGAAAGTGTGTGAAAGACAGAGGGAACAGCGAACACCCAGAGAACAAAGCCTCCGAATCAACCGAACGAGGCTCTTATGGACTCACAGAGGCTGAAGCAGCAAACATGGGCCCACACAGGTCTACACAGCTCCTCTGAGTATACACTCCAGCTTGCAGCATAGAACTTTTGTGGGACTCCTTAATGTATGAATAAGTGGGTCTCTGGTTTTTGTGCCTTCTCTTGGGGCTTTTCCTTCTTTGGGTTGCCTCGTCCAGACTCAATGTGATGGCTTTTGTTTTGTCATGGTAAAAAAAAAAATTGTGCAGGCACCATATCAGATTTCCAGATTTCATAAGAAACAGGAAAATCTCCCAATTTTTATCATTTGTTTCTCCATTCATTGGAAACACTCTGGAGTAAAGAAAGCACGGCTGTGGATATGAAGTACCCGTGGGTACCCAGTCTGTGACCTCTATAGATAACGTACTATAGTGTGAGAGAGACATGGTCTGAGTCCACTGTGTGATTAGTCTTACTAGCACACCTATCTCTAAGTTAGTGTAAGATTAGCATTACATCTGTGCTGGGTAAGATGTTCAGTAATTTAATGTTTCCTTTAGGAATATTAAATTTAATAGATGATTACTCTTCTCTATGGTAAAATTTGAGGGCAGAAAAGTATCAAACAAGAGTTTACTAAGTATATAACCCCATCGATCCCTGTTTTAGCTTCCCATTATGTAAGGGAAGTAACAAGCAAACAGATACAAAAGAGTCTCTGGAGATAATACTAAAACAAAGCACACTGATTAAGAAAAACAACTAGAATAATATTTAATTGTGCTATCATTAGTAAGTAACAAATTAAGTGAAGGATGCTCTTTCTATTAAGGGTTATTAAGTCAGCATCCTGTGCAGCCTGTTAGTGGGATCTAGACCATTCCCACAGAACCACAGCATTCATTATGAGGCTCACTAACATGTGAGAAACTCTGTAGCAGGCTAAGATAATTTTGGCTCCTAGCTCTATCTTCTAATACCTTGTGATTTTAACCAGTTACTTTTCTGAACCATGGTTTGTTCACTGGGTAAAATGATAATGCCATATAAGCTCAAGTGAAGACTAAAACACACAGTTTTGTTGGATGTAATAAATGCTTAAACTTTAAATCTCTTCATTCAAAGGGAAGAACACTGAGATAATTGGAAACAGAGAGGAGGTGGAGATATGACACCCAAAGACAATCATTAGACTAAAGTTTAGAAAAAAATCTGGCCAGGATGTGTGCTAGTTCAAACTTGGAGCAGTTGAACATCATAGAGTTAGAGATGGAATCTGAAGGATCAGTATTAATGGCAAGGCCAGCAGAAGGCATGAAATAACTGTGTAATGAAGGAACAGAGCAGAAACAGAAACTTGTTCTTTATATACAACACTAAGAAGGTACTCTTAACATTTTTGTGGTAGACAAACTGGTAAACACTGTGACTAAGAAAACTTCATATGACAGTCAGCTCAAGAAGTACATTTTCAACCTATTTTATTAAAATTTCCTGAGTTTTTTCCACAAATGTTATCGTAACAACTGACTTTGTTTACTGAACTGAAGAAAGGTAAGTATCTGAGATCCTGGGAAGGTTTAACTTGGAGTTTAGTCAGCCTCTATTTCTTACGTCAACTGTGAAATGCTGCAGTCTGTGGATTCCAACCTTACATCTGTTTTAACAGTTTTCTTCAAGTCCAGTAAATTAATTAAATAACCCACCTTCTTCATATTTTCAGATAAGTATTTAATCACAAATTCTCCCCCAAACCTCCCTTAATTTGTATTTCCTATCTATACAATGCCTGTTCCCGCACAGAAAGTCTATACTGAAGAGCAAATGAAACCATAAATGGACAGCTCTTAGTTTCAAACCTTGGATACCGCACACGTGCCTAGTGTTGTTAAATTTTGTTCTGCATGTGCATATGTCTACGTTAATACTAATTTAGTCTCGGATGTCTTCAGAGAGAAAAATGTACTCATTTTTACCAGCTCTGATCTCAGGAATGAGTCTCTCCTGCAAATTGCTGTCATGATTCATCGTCTCAAACTTGAAAGTCTTATCAGTAGCATCAAATGGATCCTACTGTTTTACTTACTGAGTCTATGTTACAAGCAGAATCACACATTTGCACTGAAAATATGCTACTTCCAAAGCACACAGATGATTACCCATATGTGGAGAAAGCCACTCAAAGGCTTCCCCAGTGTCTCTACCTGAAAACAAGCATATGTATACATATCCACACGGCCTTTCATATTCGAACCAGAGAGAGCTGACCTTTTTATAATGCTCTTACCACAAGTGAAAAGAGGATTTAAGACTCCCATGCCCAAGGCATGGAAAAACTTTGTGGGGTCTCTTGACCCTGTTTAAAAATGAAAGGGAAAAGGTCAGGTCTGATCAGAGACTGCAAAAAAAGATAAATAAATGGAAAAAATTGGCTTTTATAGTAGCATTGCTTTTGTTTTTACAATATCATAACAATATAGAAGCCAGTAAGTGACTTATTTCAGTTATATAATATTAAACATGAAACTAACCACATATGGTAATGTCTGTATATAAAACTACATATTTTTAAATGTTTAAACTTTATGGGACCCAGTCTTTAAGAATATGGACACAAACCACACCCAAAAGGAATCTCCTCAAGAATGTAGCTGGGCACAGTGGCGCACATGTAACCTCAACACTGAGGAACCCTTGCTGAGGCAAGGGGACAGCTACACATGTGGGTACAGCTTGCACTACACAGCAAATACTGCGTCAAAAGGCTACTCTACAAGACCTGCTCTCTAAAAGAGAAAAAGCGACTATCACCACCAAGAAACCTACTTAATGTGCCAATTGATCCATTGTGGGTAAGTCCTTAGAGAAGTGGGTAACATTAAATAGTATAACCTCATCCATCTTGATTAATCTGAATTATCACTATTACAGAACAAAAACCCAGACAGTCTGGTTCTTGGAGCTGGATCTTATACCTTGGACTTCATCTCAGTTAAGTGCTACATTTCTACTAAGGAAAGGCAGTCACAGTAATCTCAGTGGCCTAGCCTAGCAACTGCAACCATGGGAAACATCTTTGCACTCCAAGCTGTTTCCAGAAAACACACACAGCCAAATTAAAACAAGCCAAATTACTAAATGTGGCTTTATGTTTTGCTCCCCTAGCAAACAAATAAAAAAAAAAGGCTTTCTATGAATCCATATGTAGTTGCATTTACCCAAACAGTTCTGCATATATGAAGCTTGAACTTGAAACACAGAACAGACAGATACACATACTCTCTCAACTCCTCTCACATTTACACTCAGATACCACTTAGAAAAGACTGCAGAGGTCAATGGTACAAAAGCAGTTCCTTCATTTGATTTGTTAGAGTACTGTATTATGCTTGAATAAAGTAAGTAGACATACTGCCATGGATGCAGAACTAATATACTGTTTCCATACAGGAAAGGCATGAATTAAACCGCACACCACACTGAAACCCATTACTCCAGAGTGCAATGATTAGTAAGAGCTGTCTCCTATACTGAGACTAGAAGGAAGCAAAAGTAGACAGACTCGGGTGGGTTTGGGGGAGGGGGGTTGACTTCTTACTAGACCAATTCTTTTTCTAATAGGATCAACATAATTCAAGTTAAAAATAAGGTGTTAAAATATCCAATTTGTTGGCTGTTATACACTAAAAAAACTTTGACATTGCTGCATCAATAGGGTAATAAGGGCACAAGAGAGTTACAGCCAGTATTAATAACGCTATACAGATGATTCTTTCCAATTACCAGCATGTCTTATTCTAGCTGAACCGGGCAGACAAGTTCTAACCAAGTAACACAGTTCTTGCTTAGAGGTGTTACTAGAGGAGCTACAGCTAGACTTTCACTGTGGTCTTCCCCACTTGTCCACAGTAAAACAATAGCGTGCTCTTACACGCCCTTTCCTGTTTTGGAGTTTACCTTATGACAGCATGTGCCAGCATACTCGTTGTTCTAACAGTCCCAATCACCAAACTATGGATCCAGCCATAACACTGACTAGATTTACCTCCGTTTCCTTGAAGACTAGTTTCAGTTACATTTGTTTCCTCTATCTACTTCTTACCTCTGGTAGAGTAGAAATGTTATTGTTCTCTAAATTTAACTCCTCAAGTGCACTGCATTTTGCTAAAGATCTGGGTATTGCTGACAATCTATTGTATCTCAGGCCAAGACGATTTAAACTGGACAGGTTTCCTGTAAATACAAGAAAAAGGAATTTGTCATTCAGAAATCTGATGGGCCTTTCAGTATCATAAGCTGCCCACTAGGTGGTCATTAGTTACTCTAAGGTCTTTAAACCAAGGGGTTGGTATTTGAGAAATGACAAAATAAACAAGTGCAAGTGAGCTTCTAAATGAACCGTTAGATAAAGTATTGCATCATTTAACAAGCTAAACTTTAGATTTAACTTATAACACGTGGTTCTGAGCATCTCACACAAATAACATGACATCAATAATATTGAAGCATATCCAACCTGAACACACACTAACCACTACAGGGCAAATAAAAAGCAAAAACATCTCATCCCCACATATTTCCTAGTTTTATTGTCAAGACAACATAGGAAACTACATATCAGCCCTGGATGAATATGGTATCTACTATTAAAAAAGATTCAAGAAAACTTCCTAAACAATACATATAAATTTGTTTTGATACTTAAAATGGCAACAGTAACAATTAAGCTGGGTTTATTCCTCTGTCATGACTGATTCATTTCTAATTGCTGCTCTGACTTTTCTGGATGGTCAGGTTAAAATGCCAAATGTTGTCTTTATTTCTACGTGAAACGGTTTCCCCAATGTTAGAAATTACAGGAATCGATGACTGTGCCATGTGTTAGTTTCTTAGATGCATATTTGAAGCTTTGTGCTGTCAGCAATCTATTGATAATTATTTTTCACTCTGATAATCCTATGAGCGAACTTTCTAAATACAACATTGCTATGATAATTATCACAGCATCAATCGAGCCTCGCCACTGTTGGAGAGGAGTTGCTATGCCCTCACTCCTCACCCAGTCACTCCTCACCTGCTGCTTCCTTCTCAGTAGAGAAACCAGCAACAGAGGGACCTAAATTACCTCTTGGAGCTGGTTTTTCTCCTTTACCATGTCATGGTAATAATCATATTTTAACATCGTAAAGTATTCTCATGAGTCTAGTCCTTAAATCTAATCAACGATAACACAGAAACCACTGGGCTACAGCTACGAAACAGTTACATCGCTTACATTTCTACAACCCTGCTAGGATGTTGGGACACCAAGAATTTACAGTTCTGGTTAAGTAAGATTCCGAAAGATAAAATAGGATCTAAAAGCAACAACAAAAATCTATCACTTAGCAAAAATAAGCTGAGCCTGCCTTTAAGTGATTTCTAAATCAACTCAAGATGCTTCACAGGTATCTTTGTGATGGCATCGAGGTAAGATGTAGTCACTTTAGAGGAGGATGGAGGGATGAAACAACAACAAAAAACAAAACAAAAACAAAAACAAAAACAGCAGAGTGACCATTTTCCAAAGCACTAAGAAGTTTAGATCAGAAATAGGGGTGAGAATCACTCTTTACTATTATTATTACTTCACTATAACTAAATATGGAAGCTGTATATAGTGGCAAAAAATGGGACATCTACACGTACAATAGAAGAATAAAATTGGAGACAGCAGAATACAATAGGAAAACCAAAGTATTTTATACTATATACAACACATGTGCAGAAGCATAAACATAACATCTAGAAGTGTGAAAATGTACCCTTTAGACTCAGAAATGGTGCTGTGATTTTTTTTAGCATGTCATATAACATGGCAATATTTACAAGCTAAACCTCAAGTTCAGTAAGCAAGAATTGAAGAATTATGCTTCAAAGGCAGACAATTCTTGGATCTGGTATTATTAGTTCAAATAATTAAAAAGCTATATATATGTTGTAGGTTTTTATATCCCATTGTGTACATGGGCTTATGTGAGCCCACACATGCGAGTGGGTTCAGAGGCATGTCTGTGCTTGTCTGTGTAGACCAGACGTGATGCTCCTCATCTTCCTCAATCACTTCCCACCAGTAAATAATGTTATTTGTTTATTTATTCATTCATTCGTGTGTTTGTTTAAATCGTTTCTTAGTGGCTTGGATTTGGCTGGCTTGACTGTATGACTGGGATCGTCCTATTGCCGCCTGCCCAGATCACGAGCATGTGCTGCCCATGAAGACCTGTGTGCTAACACACAGTACCCAGTCCTCACACTTTCACAGTCAGCGCTGCATCAGCTGAGCCGGATCCTCAACCCACCTGTGGCCTCTTGGTGAGCAAGGCTATGGTCACAGATATAATCTTTATGTTTATGGACAAAATGTTCTCTTCTCACATAAAGACTATCTGATTATAACCTTTGACCCTAGAACAGACCAGCTTTAAAATGTCTGTTATTCAGTTTACCAAAACTGCTTCTTTACAGTGACCCCACAGGACTATTACACTCAGGGTTGAGGTTAAACTTGTGAACATAATTTGTAAGTCTACCTAAGCTATTATAACCTATGTTTTCAAGTATGTAATATTCATAATAGACACTTCAGATTAAACAGCCACGGCTATTTCACTGTTCAGTCTTGTATTTCCACCTAGATATATGGCACCCTAAGGTGAGAACAAGGTAGCAGGAACCCTATAGACAGTACACATCTGAATCTTTAAAACAGTAAAAACATCAAAAAATTTCGTTCTTAAAGACAGTTTCTTGATACTTAAAACTCAACTTTACACTCTGAGACAACACAGCTCTGACAGGCTCCATGATGTATCTGTTACATTATGCCTAATACTAGGGCAATACTTCTGGAATCAGTGGGGGGGGGGTCACACCAAGTATAAATGCTCATTCCTATCTCTGTCTCTGTTTCCAGACTCTCATAAATTCTATTGCCAAAACACTAGTTCAGAGCCAGGCAAAGTATATCCACAGTATTTGCTGGAAGTTTGTCACAAAGAGCAAATACTGAGGAGCATTAAAGTGGCAGACTGAGTTCTGAAAATTGTTATAGAAAGAAAACACAGATTTCATTAATTGAAAACATTTCCTAATACCAGTTTTATCTTGTCCAACTCACTCAGAGTCTGTATCCTTAAAATGCTTCTCTCCTGTCTTTGCTAGTTTCTCCCTGTCACCTCAAAATAAAATTATGTAACTAGTTTTGAAGATTAACTTTTAATACTTAGTCCTATACCATAATAGTTGAGATAAATCTACTTTTCTTTTTGTGTAACTGAGAAAACTAAACAACCACTTCTTTTCCTATCAAATGTATTTATATTACTGGACTAGTTTTTAAGGCTCCTGGCGCTCATCTTCTGAACAAGATGCTGCTATATCAAATGTCAAATATCAGACAGCCTACTCTCTCTCAAGACACCATTTTACACATGACAGTTATGCTCAGAGTATGATGGTAGATGAGAGGTCTGAACAAAATGCTTGGAATATTTATAAAGAGAAGCACAGCTCCTAGCAGAAAAGATCAAAACTGACTTATAAACAGGCAGGAGAGCACTATTACAAAGGAGCATCTCTGCCTGGCACATCAGGAGGGAATGAACAGAGAAGGGTGGTGTAGAAATGGAGGGTGGGGCCAGTGAAGCAGCTCAGCAGGTCTGACACCATGCCTGAGGACCTGAGCTTAATCCTTTGGATGCCACAATGGTAGACGGAGACAGACTCCTGCAAATTGTCCTCTGACCTCTCTTCTGCACGTACCCATGCATAAGCACATGCACGCACGCGCACACACATACACACACAGAAAATGAACGAATGAATGAATATGAATGGTTAAAAATGAAATGTATAGGTAAGATGTTTGGGTATTATACAATATGGTATTCATTTTCATTATCAACTAAAGATATGAACTCAAAGGTTAAGAAATGTGTTGATCATGGCTTGAAGCTTTAGGCAGTTACTCTGTGACATTCGATAAAAATAGCTAGGACATCTAGGCAACACAGCAGAGCTGGCCCAGACGGTGTGGGTACAGGTGAGATGGCCCCTGGGGGCTTTCAGAGTCAAACTGACCCACACCTTGCTGCCTGCTGCACTGGGTGAGCTAGTCGGTGCAGTGCTGGAGAGCTCGCCCTGGTGGTGAGGATGAGGGAGAGCCGACCAACCCACCTACCACCCAGGCCCAGAACCAGAGCGATGGTGGGTGCACCCCATCTGTGAACTGCTGCAGCATGTGAAGGGACAGTCTGCAGATGCAAAGGCAACAACAGGACATCCAGGAGGAGCCCCAGCGATGATCCAGGAGCAGAAGCCAGAGGCCAGAAGCCTGGAGCCAGACTGATGACTCACTGCAATGAACACTTGCAAGTAAAGATGAATGGACTAAAGGTAAAGTGCGTGACTCAGTAAGTTGCACTACAGCTTCCAAGACAAGAATTTTTTCTTTCAAGTTTTCTTTTTATTTAGGGGCGGGGGCAGGTTGCAAGGGCAGACAGGAAGGGAGAGAGAGAAGGGAATGGGATCAGGATGCACGAAGTGAAAGTCACAGAGAAGCAATAAAAAGTTTTGTTTTAAAAAAAGTGAGTCAGGCATTTTATAAAATCTCTTTGTGTGTGTGTGTCCTTAGTGTAGTATACTACGAGAATTACTCAGCAATAGCTAAGCAGGAGCAGTTAGTTACTTTTCTCATGGCTGAGACAAAATGCCTGACATGAGGCAACTCAGGGGAGGAAGGCGCTATCTGCTCACAGTTTAGACATCACGGCAGAGGGGACGTGCAAAGGAGTGACGTATTCCCTTCTACTTAGCAACTGTAGTTTGTATATTGAGTACCAGTACATGTCTAACCACGTTCATAATGTTTACAAGAATTCAGTAATTAATAAAAACCTTCATACATGTATTCGTACACACATCAGAGTATTTCATGATGTGACAGAGGATAGAGCTTTTGTCAATTGTTATGAATGTGATGACCACACAGCTAATTAATTTCATTTCCACAAAATCAGAGATCATGTTCACTTCCTCACTCTTGAAGGACAAGAAGTAAGATCACACTTCATTCCTGGCCTATGGCCACTGCTACACCAAAGCCAGCGAAGGTGGGAAGTTTCTCCTAAAGTAGTGATTGTGGCTGTAAAAGGCAGCGAGCTGGTCTTTGAAGAAAACTAGAGGGAGATAAG